AGGCAATCGACCTATGAAACAAAAAATTAAATACGATCCGAGGATGGAATCTTGGACCCAGGGATAATTTTGAAAAAAAGAAAAAAAAGAAAAGAAAAAGAGAGCAGATTGACCGATCTTTCTTGTAATTTTTGCTTATAATCGGATCATTTCGTATTTTAGGTACTTGTTTCGGGTCCCTTCGTAATTTACTCTTCTTCTTTTTCACTTTTAAGGTTGATTACTAGATCGAAGAGGTTCCACTCTCAAAACTCTTAGGTATTAAAATTACTCCTATACCGGGTTTTATATGAGGGAGTGAATGGAAGAAATGCAATTTTATAGGGTGGGGTTTCCATATGGTGTGGAAGAAATGCTATTTTATAGGATCTGGTTTCTATAAGGTGTGGAGAACATAATTTATAGGGTGTGGTTTCCTTAAGGTAACTTAAAACAATCTATTTAATGTGCACCTCCAAATTTTATCACAGCATATAATTTGGATATAAAAATATTTCAAAATTTATTTTTATAGTTAATTATAAAATTTTAAATTTAAAAAAAGGATGAAAATCAAGTAGATCTATAAACATATTAAAATCTTAAAAATGGACGGTCTAGCTAATGTGTTGTTTAAATGCATCATTTTTGGGACTCAAAATCCTTATTTTTTTTCATAGTCATTTATCTCAACATCGAGATGATCAATTAGAGGGTTTTTCAATATTCAAACAACCTTTTCCGATGGATTTTTGAGATGTATCCGTAGTTCTACATTTTAAGATTGCAACTTTATATAAACTTTTCCATAATTTATATGCTAAAAAAACGGAAAAAAAATTGGAAGAGGAGACTTGTATAGCCACATTAATAAAAGCCAAACATCGCCATCTTCACTAAAAACAACTCATGACCACCAAATCAACCATTTTTGTGATCTCGTTCATACTTGTTTATTCACTCACGTCGTCTCCAAGAAGATCACATTCGCAATATACATTTGACATTTCATTTATCGCAAATTACAACACATCTATCTCTCCCCACATGAAAGAAATAAGAAAACAAGGAAAAAAAAGTACAAAAAAAAAAGAACATAAATGGGCGAGGAGGAAAATGCCTAGCCAGACTCAAACATGGAAAAAATCAAAAGGAGTTAGAGATACATTCATGGAAAAATAAGGTTGTACCATCTTGTACAATGCTTGAGCTTCATTTCACTCTTCACATAATCAAAATTAAAAAAAAAAATTTTGATTTTTTTTTTTTATATTTCAGAAAGGTGACAAAAAATTATCGAGCGAGTGCGAATGATCAACGAAAAATGAGTTGGGTGTACAAGAACTCGTTCCATGTATCGGGGAGTCCAGGCAGACACCAGTGGATGCAATCTGCATAGGTTGCGGGATCGGCCTTCTGTTCACGGGTGAGCATCTTACCCTGGCGTATGGTGTACACAGAGGTGTGCGCATCCTTTCTAAGCTCTGATAGTGCTGTTACGTTAATGAATGAGACTGGCACCTTCTTCATGGATGATGTTATGTTCGAGGCCACTGCAAAGACTCTGTAGTCCGTTCCGACTTGTACAGTAGGCATGTCGAGAATCGGCATCGTCTCTTTCGCGCACTTTATGCCATCAGGATTGTTCCAATCCATGCTCCTGTGATCATTCAACAAACAATTTTAACTAGATAATTCTCATCTCCCTCACTCTATCACAAGTAAGAAAACTTCTACAAGAGGATCCTTAAACCTTTTCTTACTGAGAAACTATGGTACAGAATGTGCTTGTTCGAATATGATGGTGTAGGGAGCCATCACCGTTACATTAAGAGTTTAGACAGTGATTGTGAAAGTGGGTTGTAGCAAACATGTGTTTTAGTCCCAGTGAAATGTCAACTCACCCACCATCACCATCCAAAAGATGATTATAAGCTTCTAATTATATGGATTTTAGAATCTAAAGTATCGACACTTTTCTAAGAAGGAATTGATCAATCCAGCTATGAGGGATGAACTATACAATATTTTTCCTGTTTTTCACCAATTTCATGAAACCTTTAAAAGATAATGCCCTAGTTGGTCAATAATGGGTAGATATGATTGAAGTGGCTGTTTTAAAATTTGCTTCTATATCACTAGGAAAATATTTTTAAAAAAATCATGTGAGATATAGTTATTTTCAAGGAAAAATATACAAAGAGACCATTTATTTTTAATACAAGGAGCTCACAATCTCTCTTGACCATCAGATTTCTAATCCGGCAGTTGTATGTCATTGACCAGACTTAGAGTTTTTCTAAAAAAAAAGTCTTGATGACATATCTCAAACTATCCAATTTGACATCTAATGGCTGCTAGTAGTTGTGAGCTCCTTGTAACAAAAATAAATGGTCTCATAATATATAATCCCTATTTTAAAAATCCAATATCGTACTAATTTTTTTTTTATCAGGTTAATATTTTTATCGCCAAGTCACTTTGTGAGATATTGCTTCTTTTTTTGAAACCAATATCTCTTGAACTTTAACTACTTACAAGATATTAATGTTTCTAAATACCAATATCTCAATCTAACTACCCGTACTTAACACCAAATCTGGCCCAATAAGTCAAATAATTAAATATTTGTATTTTCAAATACCAAAATCTTAACAAGTTCACTTGTGAATTATTAGTGTATAAAAAATATATTGGTACTCAAAAATATCATCACCATACCATTTTATTTATCATACACATGTAATTTAGGAACTACCCTTACATCAATATGTGCTCTCTTTTATATGTACTTGATGTGGCTGTTTTTACAAGTATGACAAGGGAATGGTTGAAATGTTACATAAAAGTAAAGGTTTATTTCTTGGCTCAACTTTTACAAATCTCCCATTTATTTTAAAATTTGGATATTCCACTGTAAGAGACAGCTCATCTCTCTCTCTCAATAGAGGTCAAAGATTCACACCTACACTAATAGGTGGATAATTTGAAAGAAACCTCAAACAAAATTTTCCTTTCTTTGTAAACAAGGGATCAAAAAGCTCCCAAAAGTGAAATACAAAGGGATGGTGGAAATTGCAAAGTTATGGAAGGGTCATGTGTCCCAATCAAGTGGCAACAATGCCTTGACAGCAACCTCCAAAACAATTTTTGGGCAACAATGCCTTGAAAGCAACCTCCAAAACAATTTTTGTTTACTTCATTACCAAACATGAAATGGATTTCTAACCTACAGTGCAATTACTCCAAATCAAATGTTATTTATGAGAATCCAGATTCTAATTAGTCAAAAAGCGTTTCAACCAACATTTTATACTCTTGTAGAAGTATACTACCCATTTATTCCCTCGGTTGAAACCCAATAGGGGAGTCATCTTAGGAACGAAAGTTCTCAAGGATGTAGCTCTTCAACCCATAGATCAACCTTGGTAAATAAAATAAAAAAATAAAAAATCCGAATTGAGTTTTTATGTACTAGAAAAAATAAGGGAAAATATCTCTATACCTCTCTTTTTTAAGTTTTATATCTCAATAGACAAAAGGTTTCAAAACATATCTTAAATTATAAAAATTCTAAGTTTGATATTTTTTAACCTCCTAAGCTGACTTTATCTCCTTTAAACCTATTTTTTTGCCCCAAACAAATATGAGAAGACATACCCCTTTTAAATACTATCTTTTCTCTCTATTCACGTGATTTTTTCCTAAATCTCTCTCTACTTATTTTTTCACACTCTCTCTCTACCGTTAGAGAGATAGAGGGTGAATGTTAGAGAGAGAAATTTAGGGGAATAGATCACCTAAAGAGAGAAAGAGTTTAGAATTAACATATCTTTTTTATATTTGTTAGGGTTAAAAAATAAATTAAAAGTGGATAAAAGAGGTTAGGAGATATATTTTGAATCTTTGAAGTCTATTGAAATATGAAAACAAAAAATAAAAAGTACGAGAACATTTTCCCAAAAACTAATATCTCAAGAATAAAGATGGTCCAAAATTTTAAGGGCAAGATCTATGTGTCAAAAAGCTCAATTTTTTTTTTTTTGTGAAAGTAATCATCTTATGATTCTTAAATCTTTTCCAAAATTTCAGACCGAAAAAATCTCGTGTTTTTATTGATTGGCGTAGATGCACAATACGCTCTGGCGGGAGCATAGTAAACATGCTTTGTTAGTTAACTAATCAGAGCTTAATTAAATGGGATTGTTTTGAAAAAAAAATGGATTTTTTTTAACTTATTTGTATTCCGATTGCAAGAATATAGACATGATTCATGAAATCGTTGCCAATGAATTTACTAAGAGTATAGAAATGGAAAATAGGTTTTGGATTAATATGCTTTCTTTATGTTAAAAAAATTGAATAATAGATGCATGATTACACAAGATGATTCGAAATATGTCATCAAATGTGGCTGTAACCCTTGTTATTTTAATAGGTGGTATTCATGGTTTGCATAAGGAACAAATTTCCAAGACTCAACCGCCCTCCACCAACCCGGTATTAGACAAAATGAAACAACCAAAGATCACGAAATCAAGAGCTGTTAGCTGCTTAAAATGATGACTCCACTAATTATTTAACTAGAGAGAGAGAGAGAGAAAAAAGAAGAGAGAGAGAGAGATGCAATTAAGGGATGAGGGTGATTACTTGATATGTAATGGGGACATGGACATGAAGAAGACCCTGGTTCTATGAGGGTCGATGTTTTTGTTGACCCACTTGGACAACGTCCTCAGCACCCTACCATATGCGATCGGCCGCTCAATCTCCTCGTATTCCTTGTCACCTTTGTCGAATGATCCTCTCCTTTTTATCCCAAACAAAAACCCACACAACTTTATTAATCTTCTCCTTTCTTTCTCTAGGGCCGGCCTATGCCTTCCAAACTCATCATGTAAAAGAGAATAGAGTAGCATACAAGAAACATCATGAAAAGCAACAAAGAGGGAGAGAGAGATTTCAAATGGCTTGAATTATAACTAGAGAGAGAGAGAGAGGTCACAAATGAGTTAGAATTGTAACTTTAGAGAGAGAGAGAGAGAGGAGAGAGAGAGAGAGTTTTGAGAGGGGAATCAAGACTTACAAGACTTTCATTTTGAAGGTGTTCATCCACCAAATGTAAGTATTGAAGATCAGGACGTCCACATTTTTCCAGTTGACGGCGTGCTTAGATATGGACTCGGGCATGATGATCCTGTCCAATACGCTATGCGTCCTTGGGTCGTCCGAGTTCGATTCAACCAAGAATGGAGCCCAATAAAACTCGATCGTCGCATCATACTCCTGAATTTTCACCCCAAACATCATCATACTTAAATAACACTTCCAAGTTCACAATGTCATCCAGCTTCTAGTCATCTCTCTCTCTAGACATTAGGACGGCATTAGTGGGCTAAAATTTGATAGAGTAAATTAAGTACAGATTCAAAATAATTATCTAAAATACGAAATGATACAAGGAAATTATAAAGAAAGGTGGTTCAGAAGGCGGTATGAGTATTCTAACCTTGAACCGCCCGAGCATTGCCTCTAAAGCTTAGGGCATGGCTCTACTAAAGAAAAAACCAAAAATTAAAATAAAATGCATGCGGAATCTTCGGATCGAGAGGTAATTTTCAGAAAAATAAATTTTGTTTTGAAAAAAATAAAAAAATATGGGTTGGCTGACTTTCCTTGTAATTTCGGCCTCTAATAAAATCATTTTGTATTTTAGGTAATTATTTCGGATAAAATCCTTTAGTACCTCTGCTTTAAAGACGGAGAGAGAGCCTCCTTTGTTCAAGCTCTTCTTTCCCGGTGGAATGACAGATTGCACTAAACAAACCATGGATTCCCACTGGTTCCTGTTCAATGAGTCTCCCACAAACATCAGCCTCTTCCCTCTCAATCTCTCCAGCATCAACCTTGCATTAAACCTAGAGACAACAAAACAAGAAGAAGACATACATTTAGATAAATTTTAAACTTTTAGAGAGAGAAACCACACTAGTTAGAGAGAGAAACTAGCGAGAAAAAACACTGCTATAAAATAAGTGATTCCTGTGTTTGAGAGAGAGGGTTTTGAAGTATATACTTGGGCAAATTACAGGCATGAGGCTGCCACTTCCAATTCTGAAATAAACTGTCTTCTCTTCCATTCCTCTGGCATGTCACCTGTGCTGTGAGAAACTCGCACTGGTCCTCAGTATAGAGAGGGTGACTAACGTTATCAAAAACCCAATTCCCTGAAAATATATCACACTCTTTTGGCACCTTCTCTTTCTCTAAAAAATCCGAGAATTCATCTTCCTTGCTTGTAACTGCTGGACTGGAAATGGGTTTCTCGGCTTGTGGTAGCACAATTGTGGACTCTTTAGGCTTCCTTTTGTGATTCGATTTCTCTCCTGAAACTTGACCTGGGTTTTCAGAGCTTCGCTTTGAGATTGAGTTTTCCGCACCCGGACTCCGGATTGGGTCTTTAGAAATCGGTTTCTCAGTTGGGTTTTCGGTCTTTTGATCCGAGAATTGGACTTTGGAGCCTGGTTTTGAGATTGGGTCTTCATAAACTGGTTCTATGACTTGCTCTTTCAAAATTGGTTTTGGAGTTGGGTCTTCATACACTGGTTCTGTGACTGGCTCTTTCAATATTGGTTTTGGAATTGAGTCTTCGTATTCTGGTTTCGAGATTCGGTGTATCGAAACTGTCTCTGAGATTGGGTTTTCAGTGTTTGGATTTGAGATTTGGTTTCGAAAGCTTGGATTTTCAATTGGGTCTTCAGGGATTGAGAATTTGGTCTTTGGGTTTGAGACTGCAACTTCCTCTGTGTCTTCCCCATATTTTTGGGGAGAGAATGGGAACTCTGCAACAGACTTAACGTCTTCATTGTACATGAAACCAGCAAAGAGGAAGACAGTAAAGACCACCACAAAAATGGAGAGATTGTTATTCCTACGGGCGTTGTGCTTCATCTCGAAAAGTGCTGGTTTCCTACGAGATGATTCCATGAGAGGATAAGAGGAGATAGAAAGGGGGAAATCAAATAGAGGGGGACCAAGTCGTGAAGCAGGTGAGGAGGCCTTTTCATGAGTTTGATTGTTTTTCTCTCTCTGTAATTACTTGTTTGTAAACTACTTGCATTGGAATCCAAATGATGCGTGGTGGGATCATGGGAGCTGAGTAGGATCGAAGCTTCCCTCCACCATTCGTATTTCCGTTATTGTTCTTGTGTACACTAGGTTAGAAGCGGGGATTATCAATAAATCGGCTCCCCCATGAAATCAGAAACTAATCATTTTTATTTTAAAAAGTTGGATAAAAAAATCAGGTTAAAAATATGGATCGGTATAAATACTTAATATAAAGAGATCGCGAATATATCGGACTAGGCTCAAAAAATCAGATATATTTAAAATATTAAAAATTTTAAAACTCTAAACATATATATTACTAGGTATAGAAAAATTTAATAGTAATGAGAAGTGATGCTTTCACTCTATATAGATCAGTCAGTATAAAGACCTCCCCATAAATATAAATTTCAAATATTCAATGTGATATATCTCTAAATCATAAGATGATTGTCTGTTCTATTCATCAAGATATGCATAGGGTATGTGAATTCAATTTTCATCTTTCTAGAAAGAAATTGTCAACTCCATACTTGCCAACCCATAACAACCCGAAACCATATCCACAGTGAAGAACCAGAGAAAGTTTCGGGAGAATAGAAATAAAAATAGAAATAGAAATTTCATAAAATGGGAAAAAGATATTGAACTTTTCAAAAAAACTAAAATAAATCAGAGTATATTAATAAGAAAGATTTTTTGAAACGATTTTTTCAAATATTGAAAAAATCGTGTTTTAAACTTCTTCCTGAAAAGATCGTGTATTTTTACCGATCTATTAAAAAGTCGCAGATTAAATCGTTTTTCAAAAAAATACGGCTTTTTTGAAAAAGTCGTGATAAAATCAACGACTTGCTAACTATGGTTTGAAGTGGTCATGCTAGGTAAGGGTGGCTTTGTCCCCAACTCTCCTAAGGCCTGGCCCAAGCCTGGCCTTGACTACGGGTCAGGTCGGGCCAGACCGAATTCATTGGATTCAGACCTGACCCAAAAGTTAAGTACTTATATATTTAACCAAGGACACAGTTTCTATGAGTCCATGTAGAAATGAGTCGACTCTTAAAAATCTATTTTTGAGGTGGATTTTTGTACCCAATTGTTAAGGACATGTAATCTCTAACATAGAGATATGAATATAAATAAATTTTAAGAAATAAAACTATGATTTTATGAAGAAAGCATTTCAATTCAATTGTTTTTAGATGCACCACATATTTGCATCTTTAAGATGGATGCTTTATACATGGGGACCGCATAATGTAGAAATGCGGTCCAACCAGCATGAAACAATTTTCTTTTAACTAATATTCAAATATATTTTATATATTGGGACCTCGAAAGCATTACTGGACCCAGACCCAAACCCGAACGCGAACCTGAACCTAAATAGTATTCGGATCCAAGATTTTGACTCAGACCTGTTTCGCCGGGTCCAATTTTTGGACTCATACCCGAACTTGGATGGTGTCTGCCCCTCGGATCCCAAGTTGGGTATGGGTCCATTGCCACCCCTAGCCTTGGCCTTGTTAGGCTAGGCCGAACTGGGTTGGCACAACATGGCCTTGGCCTTATTAAGGTCGGACCAGCGTTGGCCCGAGCCCGGCCCTTGAGCTACAGTTTTTTGCCTAGATCGTACTTTTTTCAGGGGCGGGCCAGGCTAGGCCTAATTGGCAAGGCCTATAAATCCTAAACTTGCACCATGAATTATAAAATTAATCATGAATTGGGTATGTTATTTCTATCGATTGTTACTATAATTTAAATTTGGTAATTTCACTTTAGAGCTCCATTCTATTGGTAATGATCCGTGAGGGCCAGATCAAGGGGAACAAATTTAAACAAAAAGGAAAATTCAGGGGTAGAGATGGCACTCTCCCAATTATAATATTCTCATGGTAAATTATATTAATATTAAGATTATGAAATAAGAGTCAAAAGTCTTATGTTCCCGCAGGAGTATACTGTTCATTTACTCCCTTAGGTAAAAACCCAATCTAGGATTACCACTGACACCCAAATTTTGAGCATATGACCTCCTCAATTTAGCTACTAAGTTAGAAAACAAAAATTTAAAATCTCATTCTCTATGTGCCCGAAGAGAATAATGCCCTAAAATTGAATTGAGGCTGTCCAATTTTTCAGACAGTGAGATCTAACTCTAAAAAACTAAAAAATCTAGATTATGTCTTTTAAAAAAAATCATCTGGTGATTTTTATGTGGATCCCAAAAATGTCAGAAAAACCATCTCCCAAGTAGTTATTTTGCGCAACTAAGTATACAGCGTGTTCCTATGGGAGCACACCAATATTTTTGATCCATTTCTATTTTATTTCAATTGGGTATAGAGCATGCCACCAAAAGCCTTGATGGGAATTAAGGCCTTTAATATGATCATTATGTTCGACCCAATTTTTAGGGGAAATGGGGCAATATATGAAAGTGTTCATGTGGCTAAAGGACTGTTATGTTTCGGAAGCCATTGACGTAGGCATCATGTTACATGATTCCCCTCCTCCAACTGCCCTGTTTGTTTAGTTTCAAGCATTGAAAAGGATAAATCAACAGCGATAGTTGAAGGGGACTAGGGCATTTTTTTAAAAAATAAAGAAGAGAGAGAAAGGAGAGAGTGAGTAAAGGTCAAGCAACAGGGGATGTTTCTCTCACTTTGGTGGAATGGTTGTAGGTTCCCTTATTTCAAAGTTAAGGAATCGAATCGTCCACAACTGGGACTGTAACTGAAGTCATTCGTTTTCAAAGAAATGCTTCAAAAAGTAAAACCCCTCATATGTTGGCCCTTTTTTGTACATCTTAAATCAGGAAAAAGTTTTACTGCTTTCCATTTCTTACCTTTTCATTTTCCTTTGAAGTTTTCTTAGATTCTTTATTTATTTTTTGCCTTTTTTCCTCTCTCCTTTTCGGTGAAGAAAATGCCTTGAAAGGTTGGTGAAAATGGGTGTCCTTGGAAATTTGATAATCCAGTTATTTAACTGTTAATTTAAATTATTTAGTTGTAATTCAGTGATTTAATTGATAATTCCTGGATAATGTACTCCCAAATTGTGAGTCCATCTATAGATCTTTTTGGCATTGTTTCAAGTTACAGGGTGCAGTTCATGCTAGGCGTCAAGTTTGAACAAAGATAGATTCACCTCCAAATCCTATTGGAAGATACAGTTTCAAAGCCCTTGCAATGGCCTGAAACTCTAATTTTGCTCCTATTAAAATCTTTAAAAATAATATAAATCGAGCATATCATAAACACTTGAAAATTTTGAAGATAGACGATCCAGATAATGTATCACATGGTGTATAATTTTTAGGACTTGAAAACGTTTTCTTTTTTCAACCCATGCATCTTGAAGTCGAGCTGATCAATTGGAGTGTTCAGGAAAACCAAAACACCCTTTTCCAATGGGTTTTCAAGGTGTGTCTTGTTAGGTGAGTGTAGCCATGAAAGGCCTTATTAGTGTTTATAATGAAATATTCTATATAATGGAACATGAACTCCGAGGGAGTGTGGTCCCTCGTGGGTCATGCTAAGTAAATCACATTTGTTGATACCGAACTGTGATTGACGATCTAGGCCAGTCGGTTGGGAAAAACTTATGTTTTTTGAGCATAGAAAACTATCTGATAGGGGTTCTAATAGGTCATCCATTGATGAAGTCGGAGTATGCCCGGATGAGTGAGCCGAGGGACTATGTGACCCTTGTGTGTGATGGTGGCCTTCAGAGACGGGGCAAAAGCCTCTACCATCACACGACATGCATAATGATAGCCATCTCGAAAAAGAGAACCACCTTTTAGGGTGAAGCTTATGCTTGTGCGAGAGATACCCTATGAGCCATAGGAGTTGTGGTCGCATCAGGTCTAGGTAACCTTGGTACATCCCTAGGGGAGAACCTGAAATCCATAAAACTGGGATTACAACCCATTGGCTCATCACCAGATTTTAGTGTCCCACAAATGAGCTCCTGCATAGATTGTGGGTCATGGGAAATACTGGGTCGGTTGATAAAGCAAGTGTAGTTTGTAGTCTACGGTTGAAGGTGAAGGGCCCCAAAATGTTTCTTCTTAGACCATACTTATATTATCTAATGAATTTAATTGTGTTTATTTTTATGATGATATGATTTTACAATTATTATTTGAATTTTTTTAGATCTCTGGATATTTTATTAATTTTTCAATGTTTTAAACATTCAAATTAATTTTAAAATCCAACAAAGCCACCTTGGGTGGTATGCCCTACTTTTAGGGGCTTCCTATTCTCATGGTCGCACACCCCACTTTTAAGGGTTTTCCTATTTTATAAGGTTGAATTGATAAATAATAGGCTTGGATACCAAAGTATTGTGAGATTTAGATAAGTGTTTTGTCTTGAAGAAGATTTAAATCTTTAAAAGCTTGATAAAGCTAATGCATATTTTTGATAAAGCTCAATAAAATATTATCATATTTAGTTTCTATTGATGAGATAATGATCAAAGAAAAAAAGGATAAAAGTTCTAGCATCTTCCATAGCATGTTGATGAACCATCTTTGGAATGGAGGGTTCAAATCTCTCACCCCACAAGTCACCCATGATTAATGGTTCGTATTCAATCCACAAGAGGCAAGCCATATAAATCCCAAGAAACCTTATCCTATTTGTGCACTATAAAAAGAGGACCCCTTGCCCATAATTATCGACACACCAATATCTATGTTCTCTCTAAATATTAATCTATATCTCTCTCTTTGATAGCAATAGGGGGCACACCTCAACCCTAGAAGTCTCTCTCTAGATCATAGTAAGGGGCAAGCCCCACCTCTTGGACTATGTATCTCTAGGTTGACTTAAGGGGCACACTTCACCTAGATGGTGTTTTATCTCTCACTCATCTTGCTTTGATGAACCTAAGGGTTGGGTAGTGGCAAGTAGATGTTATCTTGTTTAAACTAAGTCTTGTGGGTTTGTATTTAAGTTTGAATTTTGTGATCAAAAGGAGTTCATAGTTCCATTAGAGGTTTGCCTTGAAACCTG